CTTCTGGTGGAGTACGCGTTAAGCTACGTTCCAAAACTTTATTCTATGAGTAGAATATAGAGATGTGCGAATGACTCGAATTCGAATCGAATCTAATGTAATTCGATTTGATTCGAATCCCTATGATTCGAATCCGAATAACTCGAAAATTTCGAATCGCGACGATTCGAATACGAATCAAATACATTATCGTTTGCGCGCATCAGCTATAAAACGGGCTATCTGAGCCTATCTGAGCCTTTGTTTGAACTCTTAACTTGTAATTAACTTGACTTATAATTACTTAATTATAAATTACTTTAAGTATTTAAATATATATTTTACTTTAAGATTACAATATCAATATTCCCTTTCATATTAAAATCGTCCATCATTATTTGCATGTTTAATAGTCATGTTAAATTTTTTAATGATTCGATTCGATTTCATTCGATTCGATTCGAATTCGAGGGAAATTTCATAAATTCGATTCGATTCGAATTCAAATTTAAAAAATGGGATTCGATTCTATTCGACGTGAAAATCCTTGATTCGCATATCTCTAATAGAATAGCATTGAATTAATCAGTTATGATAAAGTGATATTAACTCTTTTCGTTCTGATTGGTCAATTATATGCTATTCTACTCGTGGAGTAGAGTTCTGGAACACAGTCTTGCCTAATCAGCAGACAACACTTTTTTAACGTTTTTCAAATATTTATTTTACATTTTTTTCACATTTCTTCCACATTCATTATACAACAAATATTTATTTAACGTTTATTTAACTTTTATTTTGCATTACTTCTTCATTTAAAATAATTAATAAAATGATTAAGAGAGAATATTTATTTAACGTTTCTTTAATGTTTATCAAATATTTATTTTACATCAATACATCAAACCGTTTAAAATTATTTTTAACTTATTTTAGAAATGTTTTTAAAATGTTTTTTTAATATTTTTAAAAACATTTTTTGAATATTTCTCTTCTACTTGGATAATAGTCTGAAAATTGGCTGTGTATACACATATTTTATTCGCGTGGAATTACTTCTATCGCAATTTTGCGTATGCAAAATACCTGTACAGTCGTTTGCAAAACAGTTTTTCGAATGTACGTTCAGTCGGTAGTTTGTCCTATAGGGTAAACAGTTGGTTCGTCCATTAATATCCACCCTGTATATACAAAATTTTTTACAAAATATCAATATGTTGCAGTTTTTTTATTTTTTACAAAAACTAATCGGAAGATTCGGTATTTTAGTTCGATATTCATATTCGATATGAATATTAAAAAAAGTATATGAATATATTTTTACGCGATATATCGACATGTCTAATTTATACCCTGCAAAGCAACGAGACGGGAGCCCGGCGACGAGAGTACGTGCGGGATTTTACGCCGCCGTTTACCTGAGCGAGGGGGGGTCGGGGAGAGAGGGAAGACGAGTCCCCCCGCTTTGATAATATTCCACGTGAAGGGAATATCGAGGGGCGCGTGCAACGTGTGAATAGAGACAGGGGAGAGCTCGAGAGATCACTGCTGAATCTGAAAGCTCGCCGAACAGCTGTTTCCGCGAGCAGTCGCGACCTATTTAAACGTGGGAGAAAAATTCCTATCGCCGGAATGTGTTTCACGGAGAGCGGCGCGGAGAGAGGAGAGGGGGGCGGAGGGGGGGGAGAACTCTGACAGCACGACGACGAGATTTTACGAGAAATTCTCCTGTACAGTTAATCGACCGGCTCTGAGACGGGGGGAAGCGCAGGCCTAGCAGCCGAGACTGTTTCGATCGCGTACGACGTCGTCCAGCATCTTCTTCTTCTTCTTCTTCTTCTTCTTCTTCTTCTTCTTCTTCTTCTTCTTCTCCTTCCTCTTCCTCTTCTCCTTCATCATTCGCGTGTTAATGCTTTTAACCGGTACTGTTAATTGGCCGCCCCCCGCGTCTCGTCGGATCTCGTTCGTTGCGAGCCGTACTTGGAGCCGCTGCGAGAGCGCGAGGACGCGGAGAGAAATCGGGAAATCGGAAGAAACGCGACTCGATCTTTATACGAAGACCTTCATACTCCGCAGGGTTGAGTCGGTCGATTTTTTTTTTTACCGAGAGAGGCCAAGGGAAGAATGAAAAGAATCAGGCGGGAGATCTGGGAGAATCTTTCAGCCGACCGAGAGGTCAGTTCGCCGTGATAAATATTGGCTTCCTTCGTCGTGAATTCCCAAGCTCGCATTCTCGTCGAGAACTCGGCCGGGGAAGAGGCTCGCGTAAGCTCCTCGGCAAAGCGCGAGGCAAACCGCCGATGCTCCCTGCGGTTCGACGAACCGAACGAATTCTCAACGGCGGAGCGAAGGCGACGGAGGCGGTTCGATGCGGGTTTTCGGGCCGCGTTTCCGGAACGGGCCACGCGGATCTCTAAAATTAGAGGCGTTACGAAAAATCCGTCGGCGCGACGTTGAGCGGCGCGGCGCGGCGATCTCAGGGACGCGTAACTATTATCAGCGTCGCTTATCTAATACTTGATGTGACCGTCCAGCGCGCGCACATTATCACAAAGTGGAACAAAAAGAGAAAAAGATAAGACTTTAGAATAGGGCCTTTTCCGAATTTTGATATTTATTTGTTACTCTCATGGTAAAAAGCTTTGTTGTGACTCCGACAGTGATAATCAATCGGGGGAGCCCGAGAAAAATGTTACCCACTTATTTTTTGAACAATTTTTTTGATAAATATTCAGAAGTACTATTATCCAAAAACTACGTTTTCTTGTTCAATAATTTACAAAACTAGCTGTAAAAAAACAGGTATATAAAGTTTTACATATATATAATAAGAGAGGGGAGAGGGGTGCTAAGATCTTTATAGGAAAAAGCACGAAAATTTTATTTCATACATTTAAAATTTTAAATATCGATTTTATACTGATTAAATACCGTTCACAGTTGTTACTCGAATCTTTCGCCTTACTAAACAGATGAGTCTACGATATACTAAAAATGGATACTGAAAAGATTAGAAAGACCTCTACGCAAGGTAGAACGTATCATAAATTACAAGCAAAATAAAGCAGAACATTATTCACAATCATGCTCTGCTTTAATCAAAAGAACAAATTTATATTATGAAGTCTGAATTATAACGGAGAATAGTTTATGTCTTTGGTTTATTAAAGTTCATAGAGTTTATTGTACTTTTACTCAATAGTTTATAAATTTGGTGCATTTTTCCTTCTGAGTTTTATAAGATCCGAAAAAAGATCTGAAAAAAATAGGTCGGTAACATTTTTTTGGGCGCTCCCCATTGATTATCATTGTCGTAGTCATAACAAAAATTTTTATCCAACAAGTAGCAAAAATATATCAAAATTCGGAAAAGACCCTATTCTAAAGTTTTGCCGAAACGGAAAAGGCAGGAAACAGGAGAAGGAAAAGAACGATGTGCGTGAGCGAGAGAGAGAGAGAGAGAGAGAGAGAGAGAGAGAGAGAGAGAGAGAGAGAGAGAGAGAGAGAGAGAGGAGAGAGAGAGAGAGAGAGAGAGAGAGAGAGAGAGAGGAGAGAGAGAGAGAGAGAGAGAGAGAGAGAGAGAGAGAGAGAGAGAGAGAGAGAGAGAGAGAGAGAGAGAGAGAGAGAGAGAGAGAGAGAGAGAGAGAGAGAGAGAGAGAGAGAGAGAGAGAGAGAGCGGCGGGAAACCGTGAAAATCAGCGCTGGCGGGCGTGACTCATCGCTCGATTATTTTTGTCATAAAGTCTGAAAATACAATCCGAAGGGCTGCGGCCGACATATATGAAAGAGTCAGGCCTGGGAGAGCCTTGAGCCCCGGCCAAAAATGAAGAAAACACACTCCGCGAGCGCACGTTACTCGAGGAGATGCTCCACTTTGTTAGTATTTAACGACATCGCGCTGAAACGAAAGGGGATCGTGAGTAGGAGCCGATGGGGGGCGAGGGGGTATGCACGGACGAAGAGCCTCGTTTGTTGCTCCTCACACCGAGCCGGTCTCCTCCACGAGACGAGAATCATGTTTACGTCTCTCTCCTCCTCTTTTCCCTTCCTTTTACTCTCCCGGAGTAGCAGCGGCCCGACACCTGATGCATCGTACGATTCATCATCGAGCGGATTCGTATCAATCGGGCAAATAGACAGACGCAGATCGATGCGCCGAGAGAGAGAGAGAGAGAGAGAGAGAGAGAGAGAGAGAGAGAGAGAGAGAGAGACGACGAAGCTTCTGCCACATCAAGAAAAAACCAGCAACTACAAATTCACGATTCATTTTATGATCGCGGATGATTCAATAATGCAGACTCCATACGAAAGAGAGAGAGAGAGATATATATATATATACGGGCGACGTCATTATTAGCGTTACTCTAAATTACGTCACCACCGCGAGTAACTACGCGAATAGCCGCGAGTATTTACGCGCCCCTACTAAGTTACGCTGATAGCACGCAAGATTGCCGCTATCTGCAGAAACAGATAAATGAAGCGTTTCTATTCGCGATCTCGGCTGCGCCGTACAAATATCTCTTTTGGCCGCGTGCAACCGTGTGTTATCAGTCCCAGTTTTCATACTGACTCACTCTCTCTCTCTCTCTCTCTCTCTCTCTCTCTCTCTCTCTCTCTCTCTGGCGGCGATAAATTAACATTCCCCAAAGCGCCGCGGTGGTTACTCGCGCATAGAAAAACTGCAGTCGCAGGTTCAACTTTCGCGCGAACCTGTGATTTCTTCGTGGCACGACAATTGTTCCGCATGATTGACTTGAGGAACGCGAGGATTGCATTGCTGTGATAACATCGCAGAATCACCGATTATTTGTTGCACATTATTCATCTCCTGGTCTAATCTAGAGATGGAGCGGACCACCAAGCCCGCCGGACGGCGGGCCCAAAAAGGCCCGCGAGCCACGAGATGACGAAAAACGTAGAAAAAAATATATGGGGCGGCAAAGGGGCAAGAAGGGGAGGAGAAAAATGGAGGTAAGGGAAGTAAAAAATCTAAACGGCGATAACGCCGATTTGCTCACCTTTTTCTGCTGTTTCTCCCAGGCAGGGTCCAAAAGACCCTCCCTCTCCCATTCCTCCTCCGGTGCCATGTATCCGTCTCCGTAGGCTTCCATGTCGTTCATCCTCTCGCTCGTGTGCGTGTCTCACGTTCCTTTAAATGCAAACGCCAAAACGTATGTCACACAACGTTACGCTCGCCCGTTGCAACGGCAAGGAATTCAGAGTGAGTGAAACAGAGGGGGGAGAGGGCCGCGGAAGAGACGCTTCTCGGAGCGGATGAGAGGAACGCTCGATCGAGATCGATACGTGTCTCCTCGGCGTACGTTCGTTCGGTGACAGCGACGCGTGTACTGAGGGAGTACAGGGGGAAGGGGTGCGATAAAGGGGGAGATAAAGGGGGAGATAGAGACAGAGAGGGAGAGAGAGAGGCACAAGGGAAAAACGAAATCGAGGGGCGATCACGGTGACTAAGGGCTGGAGATTAACTCAGGGGGAATTGAGAGCGAAAGAGAAGTATATGAGGAAGACAGACACACACACACACACACACACAGAGAGAGAGAGAGAGAGAGAGAGAGAGAGAGAGAGAGAGAGAGAGAGAGAGAGAGAGAGAGAGGAGCGAGCAGTAGAGGGAGAGAGAAAGAGAAGTGCCTGCGAGATCAACGTGGAAACGTACCCGCTAAGCCCAGAAAACGTTCGGTTCGTGTCGTTCTTTCTCTCGCGCTGACCCCTCTGCCACGAGTCTGACATATACGATTTGCTCGCCGGTGCACAACTCCCCCTCCCTCCCCCCAGCCCGTCCGCGCTTTATCCCTCCTCCCGCAGTTCTCGTTACTCGCCAGAAGAGAGGGGCTGAGACCCCTCCCACTAATTCCCTTTTAAATTCTCCCTATCACCCTCTACCTCCCCCTCTCTCCCCCTCCCTCTTTGTCCCTCTCGTTAGCAAATGACGCTCGAAAATATTCTTTTTACGACGACAGCGCGTTTTCGATACCGTAAACGCTAATGGCGCGTCGCGAGTGCTCCGGGGCGACAGCGCAAATTGCAAAATTGCCGTTGACAGACGACGGCCGTGTCGCGTTTACCGTATCGACGAAGAGCACTCGGCCCGTTCGTACGCGACGTCGGCGTCGGCACCGCTGGTTTTACGCTATTTCGTAACGCAACCGCGCGCTTCGAGGGTAGCCGCGGGGACGCGCGCACGATAATCGCGTTTCGTCATGGATCGCTACGTACGGAGCCGCCGTCGCCGCCGCCGCCGCCGCTGCCGTCGCCGTCGCCGTCGCCGCCGCTGGGCTCATCGGCCGAAACTAACCTCCGTCTTTCCTCCTTCTCTCCCTCGTCGGCGAGCACGCCGATCCTCAGCTCTCGGAGAGGACGCAGGGGCGACAAAAATAGCGTCGAAGACGAGCGCCGCGCGGCACCTCATTCACCCACACACGCGACTAAAATAGGACCGCCGGTCCGCGCGAAATTCCCAAATCGACCAGGGCGACGCCATTCCCGCGAGACCGCCGCGGCGCAATGCTAACATAGAGCGGAAGTGCGTTGCACGTTTTGTATACCTGCTCTCTACCTGCGCCGTGTTGCACTTTCTATACCCGCGACGAAAAAGTGTATGCGTGCCACACACTTCTATAGTATAACTAAACTGCTTTAGTATTTATACTTTATAATATAGCTAAACTGTGCTACTGCTGTAGCACAAAATTGACCGCAAAAAGTATGTATTACCAGAGAGAAACCTGAGAGCGACCATCAGCGAAGGTTCAGAAATTTTTATGAATTCGACACGCCCCCTGAGAAAATAAACGTCAACTACGTCGATGTCGCTCGGTAACGAGGTGTGTTTGCGATAGTTTGGTTCATATCTGAGCTATTACACAGAATATAGTAAAAATTATATATATATCATCAGGAGGAATCATCCCAGTAAACACAATAGACCTGTTCATTTTGTCTGCACTGCTGAACTAGTGCAACAAGTTGAAGTGAGAAAACCTACGTTTGTCTCACTTTAACTTAATGCACCAGTTCAGCAATGCAGACAAAACGAATAGGCCTAATATTACATGTAACGTGCATGTTAGTTGTAATTTCCTACTTAACAATATAACTGTTATATAACACAAGTGTTATATATTAGGTGTACAAATGAATAATCCAATTTTTTCAGCCACATTCAAGGTTTATTTTAAAAGAAAGTAAATTAAATTGTTCAATCAAAGTATTCGCCGTTGCTTTCTATAACTTTAAGCCATCTTTCAGGCAGCTGATGAATTCCATCTCGGAAAAATGTTACGTCTTTGGACACGATAAAGTCATCAAGCCATTTTCGGATCTCATCCACTGATAGGAAGTACATATCGGACAAGGCGTGTTGCATCGACCGGAACAAGTGATAATCGGATGGAGCAATGCCTAATGAATACGCCGGGTGCTGCAAGACGTCCCAGCCAAGACTTATTATGGTGTCTTTTGTATTGGAAGCAATGTGTGGCCTGGCGTTGTCATGCAACAATTTCACTGGACGTTCTCCTTTGCCAGTATACGGGCGTTTTCGTTCCAATTCTTGACTCAAGCAGATTAATTGACGTTGGTAGCAGTCCGCAGTAACTGTTTCACCTGGTTCCAACAACTCATAATAAAGCACGCCCTTGATATCCAACTAAATGCAGAGAAGAACCTTCTTTCCGAAGCGATTGGGTTTTGCGACCGATTTTGATGATTCGCCGGGATTTACCCATGACTTTCTACGTTTTGGATTGTCATAGAGTATCCATTTCTCATCGCCCGCAACGATTTTCTACAAGAAAGACTTCGACGCTGCTTATTGAGAAGAGAAAGACACGCTGCCACTCGTTGATTTTTGTTGGTTTCAGTGAGTTCATGCGGTTAGGCACCCATTTTCCTTCTTTCTGGATCTTTCCCATCTCATGTAGGCGTTTGGAAATTGTTTGCTGCGTTACTCCCAACTGTTCTGCAAGCTCTTTTTGTGTTTGTGCCGAATTCTCAGCGAGCAGTTGTTCTAAATCATCATTATCGCACTTCGGAGGGGCTCCAGGGCGTTGTTTGTCGATTAGACTGAAATTTTTTAAACCGCTTTTAAATCGTTTAAACCAAAATGCGCACATATCGATACAACACCTTCGCCGAGAAAGGAACAAATCGATTCGCACGCTCTTGCAGCATTTTTTCCTTGTTGAAATTCGTAAAGAATGCAGTGTCGCATATGCACCTTATCTATTGCCATTTTCGACTGTACTAAACTGAATACTTTTGAAGGTTATGTTGGGCCTTTCGCCAAATTATATGTTTTTTTTAATAGCTATATGTCAACATTGCATAATCACAAAAAAGCGGGAAAATCTATTCAATTTAAAATTGATTTCATAACTGCTTAAAATAATTTGGATTATTCATTTGTACACCTAATAATAGTTATGAACTAAGATCTTTATCAGTTTTCTTTCAGTATGTATAACAGTCAAGATATGATGAGCAAAATAATTATTCGATAGAATTATGAATAAGATTATCGAATTTGAAATTCCGGGCGGAGCCCCTCTCTCACTTATATATACTGTTTCCTATATTTAAAGTAAATGAAAACTGCTTGTCTACTTCAAATATATGGTACTTCAACGTACAATTATAAAACTTTAAAATCAAATATCTCAGAAATTATAAACGACCCCCATATAATTGTATTAGGAAAAGTCACTCAGAATTTCATCCTTTATAACATATTTCAAAATGAAAAAAATCGGTGAGATGTACCCTTTTCTATATATTTACCTTGCTTTTTTTCCTCTTTTCATTTTTCTCTTTATTCTGTCATTTTTAGTTTCTTATTTGTTACATATTTTTTCTCACATATCTAAAATTATTTCTTGCACTGCATTGCAAATAAAAATATAAAGACTATGTCGACTCCAGAAGATAGCTTTTATAACAGATGCATGTATAGAGATTGTCAGAATGGAAAATCGACTGGAAGACGATTATTCAAATTCCCAATGCAGAAGGATGCAAGATATAATACATGGATACTTAATACAGGTAGGTCTTTCTGCAATAATTATTTTCTATATAGAGGAAATGCGGATAATAGTACGTATTTTTTACATTTTAATTAATTGTACACTGTAACGATACGATATACTTACTTCAAACTAACACTGAATATGAAGTGTTATCTGCTGTGTAGTGACACTATATACTAAAAATTGAAATTAATATAGTTGAATTAATAGTGCTTTAAATAATTAACAATGTGAAATGCTGCAAATGCGTACTCTTGGACAACCTATGAGATAAGAGTACGCATACGAAGTACAAGAATACGCATTTTTTTATTCTATTAATGAAATTAATGAAATTGATTAAATGTCATCCTGACTTACTGCGGTTATAAATCCTCGCCGTTCTATATTTTTGCGCTTGTATTTTGATGTCTAAAACTAAAGGAAACCGCCGAACTTCTTATAAGGGGAGGACGCATCGACCGGGAAACGGTTTGGAACGAAACTTACGGAGTTAATAGTACTTGACTACTAATAACTCATGGTAATAGCATATGACGCAATACCTCTTCGTTTTCGAGAAAAAACGGTCTAAAGAAAAGAGCCAATAAGGTGTCCGAGTTAGTAAGAAAGGTGTTCAACGAAACGGCGTAGCGCAGCAGCGAAGGTAACGAACTACCGAGCTGACGGCTGAGGTTCGATTCCTGCTGTATGGTTTTTTTTTTATTCTGTAAGCATAAAAATGAAACAGAAAACATTAATAAGTAATAAAACTGCGTTTCTTAAATATATTAATGTTTGTTAAATATACTATTAATAATTTAAATTGCAAAAAAACCGTAAATCTTATCTATAAAATATATAGTGTATGAGAAAATTTTTATATAATAATTGCAATAGAAATAGGAGTAAAAATATATTATATTTTCGCTGGAGGATTTTTCGATAATAATTCATTATTCTCGTAAATAGAATTCGCATATACGAGAGCATTAGTGAATTCACCTTTAAAATCTTCATTTTCAAAAGATCTTTCTTCTACCGATTCTACATCAACTATTTTGCTTGTTGAAGGATTCTCTGACATTATTGTGATATATGTAATTTAAATATGATCACCGAATTACTCTGTATCACTAGTAAACGCACACTGCTGCTTGCTCTACTGACGACTGTTCCGATGCTCGAATCATTTCGTCATTCTTAATGATCGTTTAGAATGGCACAAAGGAAGTTTCTGGAGGGGGATTGCCAGAAGAGATAAAGACACAACATAACTTCAACACAACACGACTTCTACACAATATAGAGAGTTGTAACAGAAATAAATATTTTATATATACGATATAAGATTACGAAAAATTATCTCATACTAGTTTAACCCTTTGCGATCGGCTGATTTCGAAGAGATCGATAAATATGGATATCTGTAAGTTGATCTAAACATTTGAATCTAGCATCAGAAGGATAATTTTCTTTCATTATCGCTAGCCTCATTTGCCGTGCCGCACGCCAGGTGATCATGAATGCCAACCTG